GTCATCACCTGCGACTCCTGGAACGCTTTCATCAGCGCTGCCTCCGTACAATTCTAAACATCCGATGGACTGACTATGTGTCTAATGTCACTGTCCTCGAACAGGCAGGGGTCACCAGCATCGAGGCCACATTGCTGAAACTGCAGCTGCGCTGGGCAGGGCACGTCTCTAGAATGAAGGATCACTGCCTCCCCAAGATCGTGTTTTACGGTGAACTTGCCACTGGTAGCCGCAAGAGAGGTGCCCCAAAGAAGAGATACAAGGACTCCCTGAAACAATACCTTAGCCTTGGCCATATTGACTACCATCAGTGGTCCACCTTGGCCTCCAATCGGGAGACTTGGAGGCACACCATACATAATGCCGCTGACTCCTTTGAGAGTTCACGAAGAACTAGTCTCGAGGAGAAAAGACAACACAGGAAGAATCGTGTCCCACCTGTTCCACCCAAGGAGACCTTCTGCTGTGCTTTTTGTAGCCGGATTTGCCTATCCCACATTGGCCTTCTTAGTCATCAGCGCGCCTGTAGTAAGTGTGGGTAAATGCCCTTCCCAAATCTTCGTTCGCGAAGTCAAGCCATGAGTGATGACAGTTTGTACTCGAAGTCCAGAGTTTATACTTTTTAACCTCCCCTTTATTTTAGCATGCTCAGTCACAAAGTCAATTCATGACATGGAAATGGCTTTGTGTCTACTCATGTCTGAGCTGTATGTGTCTGCACCCTCAGCTGATGCCTTTGAAGATGTCAGTCAGTCACAGGGCGTTTGCCATGTTCCTTTCCTGCCTTCCATCCCACCACTGTATGAAGCTTCGAGCAGGTTTTTTTCAAACTTAAAAGCTATGTTGACAGAAAAGAAGTACCCTGTCCTTGCAAATAATTACACTGCTTTATTTTTCAGTATCACAGTCTCAGGAAATGAAACAGTCCAGATCCTTTCCAAGATATTACACAGCTTTTTTTTTCCTTTTTTTTTTTTCCATCTGTCTGGCCATAAAATAACCACATTTAATATAAATTTATTATTTTGCTACATCTATTACATGGGAAGAACATAATTACTGGTAGAAGCAGCTGAGCTCCAGCAGTCAAGGGTGGAACGAAGTGTTGTTTTCTCCTGCTCTTGCGTAACCCACTTCAGTGGTTCCAGAAAAGCACACGCAGGGACAGAAGGATGTAGTGGATAACAAAGTACAGTGGTTTATTGAATGAAATGGGGCAAGGCAGTGTTCCCTTTACATTCAATGAGAACTCAGGAGTATGAAGCAAAACATGCTATGCACACACAGACATGATACTTTGGTTAAATGTCATTCAGAAGTTCTATGCCAAACCTGGTAAAATGATAGAGTAAACAGTCAAAAATAAGGAAAAAAAAATATAGGCTTGCATAGACAGATTATTGTCAGTGCACAATTTACGTTTAAGGATTAGCTGTTGCAACACAAGGTACATTTGCAGCTCTGAGGAATTTAAGCCTTCTGACTAATCCATCTCATTGCACAGCTAATATTTAGATTCAACAGGCTGAAAGTTTACCCTGAAAAGCTAAAAGAGACAACTGCAGTTATTTCTCTGAGGCAATTAACTATATTGCAGTGCACAGATGCAGCTGGAGACAGACCATGGAGTCTACTTAGAGTGAACACTGATACAGTGGAACTTGCTTACTGTGAAGTAGAAAATACTTGTGTGTGCTACTGTCCACTCTGAGCCTCTCCTGGAAGAGCCCAAAAGGCACAGCTGAGCCTTGTCTAGTGTAGCTCACAGGGAGGAGGTGGCTCATTCTACCTCCGGTCCAGAAGCTGAGAGCAGTGCAGCTTCTCAACACAAATCCTGTGTCCTGCAGCCTGTACTGGGTATAACAGTTCAGGTGGCACTTGCATGCTGCACAGTCAAAAGCCTCCATGACTGTGCTGCACAGCCAGAGATGTGCTACGGCGTGTTTTAAAGAGCACAGTAAACTGAGATCTCTGTAGGTTTATGCCTGTCCTTCCCAGCCAAAAAAGACAAACTGCCTGTGGTATACTTCATGAGAGGGACACTGCTGTGCCTCATGCTGTATCTCACAGCCACCTCCCAAAACAACTACAAAACCAAGCACTAAGTGTTTTGAGAAAGTTGGGCAAAATCAACTGTCCATTGGCTGGGGACAAATATAGGGCAGAGTAAAACCTCGAAGTCACACTCAGATGGGAATTCCTGCTGCAGCACCCTCCCTGGCATCACTGCCAGGAGCAGGACAGAGGAGAGGCCAGTCATCCACCAGTCCATGCTATGAACTGTGTTTTGTTTCCTATTGCATCTAACATACCTTGCAGCGTCAGTGCTACCATTAGGAACAGCAGGAACCATCTGCTCAGGGTGATACACGCGCAGGATATCATTCTGTGTAAGAAGCAATGAGTTTCATGGACTGGCTGTGCTAGGTTATAAGAGTATAAACTAAGTAGGGGAATCCTCACACTGTCTCCAAGTGCTCCCCTTTATATATAAATAAGCAATCCACAGTTAGTTTGCATACAGGTTAGTATGAATTAAAATAAAAATCTTGATAATAAAAATACATAATATACACATTGATCAATAACAATAAACTGAATGAAAACACTAGAATGTAACAGTGACTGTATTTTGGCACAAAATAAAAATAAAAATGCACAAAGGTCTAGCACTGTAAAAACAAAAATCCACTTTTTTCCCTACATAAGAGAGTGTTATTAGTCCTGATTCAAATCCTGACCAGTGGGAATGCAGAGATATAAAAATACCGTACATACAAGATCCCTTTTACAGAGTGAAGCAGACTGCAGCATTTGTAATTTCTGTTCTTCCTCCCCAAGAGAAATTCAATGATTAGACTCCATCTGTCCCCTAACAGCTGATATTTTCCCACCCCACCAAGCCCAAAAACATGAAGTCCTTTAAAAAAAAGACAAGATTAACCTGTTGGATCTATCATGTGATGACAACTGCTTCTCCCTGCAGGAAGCTGTACAGTCCACATTAAGACAGTGTTTCATAGCAAGGTGACTCAGATCAGCCTGCTGAAGACATTGAGTATCCCTGCATATAAGGCACGATCACTCTGGTTCACCCAACCTCTCTTCTGCAGACCATTGTGCTTTTGGACGGAGGTGAAGAGGTGGCGAGAGCTCTTGCTGGTGAGATGTGCCTACGATGAAGATTAGGAAGTGCCAGGATTTCTTGGTGATGAATTTTCCACATGGTGCCTATTGCATTGTTAATGCAGAGTCAGAAAGGGATGCAAGATGTGAATGACTTGGATAGAGTTCCAAGCAAGGGCTCTGACATGCTACTAAACCCAGAGCAAACCCATAGGCAGAGCTACTAAAACTTGGCAGAAGACAAGGAAAACAAAGTTAAACATTTTTCTGTCATAGAAAGGAAATATTGCTCCAATTGTTTCTTTTTAAAAGATCAGCTTCATTGTACCTCTTTCCAGGGACGCACGTGCAAGGTGCTGATTTTGCATCTTGCCTATGTAAGCTGCAGAACTGTGGCTGCTGAGCCCCAAGATGTGTTGGCTCCTTGTTCATCCATGAACTGAACTCAACTCCTGCTGACTTCAGTGGGATCATGGAATGAATATCCCTTCCAAATGTGGTTATTAAGCATGCAAGTCCAGTTGTAACCTTTACGTGAGGAAATCTCTAACCTGTGTGACTACATAAGGCCCACAAGGTATATTAGATGAACAACTGCTCTGTTTATACCCCATTTATTACATGGTTTCCTCATCTACCATGCCTAGCATTTCTCTCTCTGGATAGGTGTTAGCCCCTTCTAACAAAACCTTAGGCCCCTGTTTTCACAAGGGCTATAGAAAAATAAAACAGGAGAAACACTTACAAGGGGCAGCAGAGGAATAAAGATAGGGAGCAAAAATAAAAAGGACTATGGGAGGCTACGGAGCAAAGCACCCCATAAAGCATTCAGTGCTCCCTGAAGGCATCCAAGGAAGCAGCAAATGCTCCTGGGATCCTTCACTCCACCTCTCATCTCTTGGTGCCACAGCCTGAGGAGGCCATTAAGGAGATCTTACAGCTCCACAGAGTAGACGCAGAGGTGTTCTTCAGGTAAATAAAATTAACCAGAGTTTCCCCTTGTATCATTCCCTCTCACTCCCACTGAAGTCAACAACATAGATACTTCCAAACATCCTTCCTGAATTAACGGCTTCTTCAAATGTCAGCAGGCTCAGAGCCTTCAAAACTGTTCTAATTAGGGTAAGACAGAAATTACATGACATCTGCATTGCAAGAAAGCCCATCACAGCCACCTACAGAGCCCCAGGAAAGGCTGAATTCCTAGTTGACAATTTCCCTTTCCTTTTGCAGAGGGTCACCCCATGCACATTAAGTATAAAGCACAACCGCTTCCTGATTTGGCAGGACTTTTCCCCATCCACTTTTCACAAGTGCACCAGATGATACAAGCAGAAAGGCCTTGACTGGGGTGTTAGTTCACGAAACCCCACCAGGCATCCATTTCACTACAATAAATACTCTGATGGCAATGGAGGGGAAAAACCCACAGGAAAAAAATAATGGCATTTTCAGCAGTAGGAATTTTGACTGCTACATGAAATACAAAAATAAATTTTTACAAAATAAACTCTTTGCAGATGAGGTTGCCACAGTGGCCCAAGTTATCAAATGAAATGGAAAAACTAGGGACTATGTTGATCCTTTTCGGGGTCATTTAAAACAACATTAACACTACACTTCTGAATGGACGGATGGAGCAAGAAGAGGGAACAAGGAAAGCACAGTAAAATCTAGCCGCTAGCCAGAGTATTTCCTGAGAAGAAGCTGCGAGCGAGACAGACCTTCCAAATGATGCAGGTGAGCAAGCTCACAGTCTGGAAGCAAGGATATGCAGCTAGCAGGATGCTGCCAATGCACAAAGTCCTGGGCATTTTACACAGACAACTTGCAGATCCTGCTGTGCCCTAGACAGCGCCAGTTTTATCCTGATAGGAGGTGAGGCATTCAGCACAGATATTGTGTGGACTGTTCAGCACTCTACGTCTAGCTCAAAGTTGCCTGTAATTGTGGATTTTTGATTCAGTGTCAATGCCCATATGGCCCTCCTTCAGCCCTAAGATTCCAAGATATATGCAGATTCAAACACAAGTTACTGTACACAAGTGCATCAGCAACTGAGCTAGGAGTTACAGTAGTTCCTACTTGGCTTCAGTGAAATTCCTTGGCTATCACACGAAAGCTCAAAGCAGGTGACCATAGAGGTCCCTTCAGGCATTTAAATCTGTATGATTCTTCCCAATCCACAAGTTGCAGCTTCATCAGCTCCCTGGTATATCTTAAGAGTTATGCACACAAAGTCTAACTTCCACTGAAATTGTCTTTCAACTGTTCTATCCTATACCCTGGAGCTAAATGCCTAGTTACTCTACCCAGGTTGCTGTAAACCCTAGAAAGAAATACAGCAGTTAAAATTTTATTTCATAGGCAATTTCTTCCTTATCAGTCCCAGGTTCTGGCTTTTGCTGATGCATGTTATGAAGATGCTCTCGTCTTCCTCCAAGCGTGACTGTCAGGTTGGCTCAGCTATCTTATCCAGCACAGGAAGAAAGATATTTCCTCTTATAACTCTCTTTGCTAAGTCATCCTAATATGGACAGAACTTGCAGTTCTGATGTTGTGGTGCATTACCATAATTAAATTAATTTCTTGGATTTTCCTCCCTGTTGTAACTGCATCTCTATTTGTCAAAGCTCCAGACAAAGCTTAAAAATAAAAGGAAAGCCTCAAAATAATGTAATAGGGAGCTGTTAAGTCAGCTAGTTGATGCGCACAGCTCAGTGGTGGCTAGATTATACTGCACTGCTTAAGTCATCACATATGAGTAAGAAATAGAAACAAAGTTCCTTATTATGATGACACTTCAAGAGGACATCCTGGGAGTAGAGGGTGGACCTTCCACTGGGTAAGGAATCGAGAAAGTTGCCTGGCAATTCCAGTAATGTTTGCTACAGAAGAGTCAGTACCAAAGCAAAGGCTAGCACAGTTTACTGCTTCCTACGGGAACCTGGAAAGCAGAACAGAAAGAAAGAAAAAAAAAAGAAAAAAAATAATCTGTAAGGATAGATCCTGGTGGAGAAAATATGACTTACAGGCATCTTTTACCTGGTCTGCCCTCTTGGGTATCTGTGTGACTTCCAGGGTACTGGTAAAGTCAAATGACAAACTGGGAAACATGTTACATTTTCCCAAACAAAAGGAAAAAAGGATAGGTCCACAAGACAGGCAGACATTTACATTTCTTCTAGGTTGTGAACAGTGCTGCAGCCACATCGCATAGTCTCACTAAGGAAAACTGAATAATCACTCAGCTTGCAGACTTTATAAAAGCGCCATCAACTTTCATAGTTGTTTGATGGACACAGAACACAGAAGTTTCCCAAACTTTAAATTTTGGGAAGTGTCCACATTTAAGTCACAATCAGTGGAGCTGGAAGAAATCTGAGCGATTGACTCGAACTCTGGCTGCCCCTTTCCTTCCCCAGAGACTCTATAAATAACTCAGACAATTAGTACTCAGGTTTAAAAAAATGTGGGGGCGACAATAATCACACGGCTCTTATGCCAAGTGAGTTTAGGAAACAAGCCAACAATGCAGTGCTGAGATGCTATGGGAACAAAAAGAGCATGTTCTCAGGACAAGCTTCTGTCTAATCATCCCATCCGCTCACCAGACAGGTGATATTGAGAGATTTTGTCTTATCAAATCGTCTGACAGTAATGAGTCACCTAAAATCCATCTCATCATTGTCTTCATGTTATTTCTTCTTCATCCTTCCTGGATTTATAGTCATTCATCATTAAGAGATCACAGAGGACATGCAGACAGCAATTTGGAAAAGTCAAGGCAAACTTTTTAGTCTCTCAGCCTGCAGCGTTCTCAGCAAGTACGACTTGGCCACTGACTAGCATAACCTGCCTGCTGGGGGCAGTAATATCCATTCCTTTTCTCTCTTAGTATCTTTCAAACATCCTGTCATTCAGGCTGCTCATTTGAGGAAAACATCCCACAGTAACCCAAGAGCTGGGGCAACCATGGGCTTGATCATACCTTTAGGAGAGTGCTCAGGTCTGGGGATCTGGCGCATAGGGCTGGGCTGGCCTGTGTAATACCGAGCATGTTCAAAGTCATCATGGAGAGGCTGTGACCTACCAAGCACAGTGAAAAAGAAGTGTTGCGAAAAATACTCAAAGGCGTAACAGTGTGTCAAAACCAGCATCTCAGCTGCCTGGTCACTTTGATACAGTCTCTGGCCCAGACTTCCCACCTGCAGACCAGCTCCTCTGGACACAGCTTGTTACTGTTTTCTGTGGTGAGAAATGTGCAGTGTTTATTACTTCTCACGGACAGCTTTAATTTGTCAGGAAACAAAAAACTTCCATTACAAAATTTGTTGCAAACCTTAATCAAAACTACACAATTTTAAAGTCTTTACTGCTTGACCCAGTTTAACACCAGAGCATTTTAATACGATCTCTCTCAGCCTTCACCTGCAAACCTCGTTTGCTGTTTCTTTTGCAAATTCAACAAGAATTTCTAGGCTCATATCTGGACTGGAAATCAAAGCCACCAAGGTCACTTTCAGGGTTCAGGCCCTCATGAAGAGCACCAGGCCAGGGTACCAACTGATTCAGCTACAGCACATTCCCATCAGCTTTAGGATGAGGTATCCCAAAGCAGAACATGCTTGCTTGCTGTGGGGTGTCCACATGCAGCAGTGGGAGCAGCGTACAGAGCTTAACTGGGAGTGAGGACCCAAGGGAGCAGCTGTGCAAATGCATCGTGACTACTCCTCCATGCCCAGAGATGACATTTGGTTTCACACCCACAGAAGCTCTTTAACCCTCTCAATGTTTCTCTGCCATTTAACAAATGTCACTGCACAAGCTCATCAATCTCCATCAGTGCCAGACAGGGAGACCAATATGGACAAATGCCACGAGCACAGTGAGTGACTCATGTCACTGAACACCTTAGAAGCTTTGTGCCCTCTAGCTCATTTCAGTACCAAAACCTCTGATCTCTACCAAGCCCTTTGTGAGTGGGTCAAGACCGATCACCCTACAACTCTTCCCTAGAACTCAGCTTCTGCCTGCATTTCCCTATTTATACCAGCCAGTTCAGTCTCACCTTGAAGATCTTTCACCTTTGTGTCGCTGAGTTTCAGGTCCTTCTTTTGACCTTGAACGCGTGGACTCACTTGCATCATGCTAATGGGAAGAAGAGGAGAAAGAAGCTCATCAAAGCGCCTTGCAAGACAGCAGCCAGTACGCTGAGGCTGGCAGAGCTCCACGCAGTCCTGTGCTCAGTTTATACACACAACTAGAATAGAATCATAGAATCACAGAATAGTTAGGGTTGGAAAGGACCTTAAGATCATGAAGTTCCAACCCCCCTGCAATGGGCAGGGACACCTCACACTAAACCATACCACCCAAGGCTTCGTCCAACTTGGTTTTGAACACTGCCAGGGATGGAGCATTCACAACCTCCCTGGGCAACCCATTCCAGTGCCTCACCACCCTAACAGGAAAGAATTTCCTCCTTATATCCAATCTGAAACTAACTACAGCCACACACGTGCAAATAGCAGTATCAGGACTAATTTCCAGTACATGAAACTCTGAGACAAACTCAGTTTTAGCTCTAAATACGAAACAGTGCTTGGGGGACCTGTTCTGAAGCTAGGGTTGAATGCAGTCAGTGTGCAATGACTATGCACATGGCTGGGCTGAGCACAAGGGACCAGGTGTACGCAGCTGTGCTCCTGCAACCACTCAAACACAGTAAAGGGGCTGAAAACATCAGAGCTACTTCCAATTGCCCACCATGATTAACACAACACCCCCTTTAGCACCTAACCAATGAAGACTGTGAAATCCGTTTCCTATCACCTTCCACACTGGCTCACCAAGCCTCTGTAATATTACTCATACAAAAATATAAGCTGGATACACTCAGTACTTTCATTATAGGGCCAATTTGATTATGAATCAGAGTGACAACTGGAGCACCTGCACTGTCCTTAGTACCTGCAGTGCATAAGCAGAACAAACTACTGGTTTTAGTGCCGCAGCCAGGATTTCAGCAGAAGTAAGGCCCCGTACCAGGACTGACTGTTTGAGGGAGGCCACAAGGTGCTGTGACATCTAGCACCATTTTCCAAGGCCATAGCCCAAGGTTTACCCTGCTTGAGGCTGAAGTAAAAGAGAATGTAGACAAGCAGGTGGCTCCAAAAGGTTTGGGAAGCAGCTGAGTAACAGGCAGCGAGACACTCTGGATGCAAAAGTCTGCATCATTTCTTTTGCTCTCACCACACACCCTCATGTCCCCCTCTGGAAAGGGGAATAACTTTATAGCACTTCATTTGTGGCACCTCCTGAAGCCTGACATACCTTCCAGTTTTGATCATGCCTCCTCCTTTCAAAGGAAGACTTTTCTCTCTCCCTCCCTTTCTTGAAAGCCTTTTTCTCCTCAGCCATCAAGAGTCGGGCAATTTCCTAGAAGGGAAAATACAGAGAATGTGTCAGACAGTTTTACTGCTCTTGTGGGTTTGAGTTATTTAAACGCTTTCCAATAGACGGCTGCTGAATGAGAAGGGTGCAAAGCCAGGATTCCATCTATGACCAGAAATCAAGTGAGAGGGCAGAATTAAGACATGCAGCATGGCCACTGGATTCCCAATTTGTCAGAACTGTGTTTGCAAAGCCTTTCTGCCCTTTACTCCTTTCAATGGAGATGTGTGTGTGTGTTTAACCTCGTAGCATCTCTGACAGTCTCCCTTTGGGGCAGTTACAAGAGATGCTCTTACAAAGCCATGAACTTACTTCCTCTGGCATAGTTGTAACAGGCAGCGCAAATTCTTCCTTGACCAGCCTGAGCATATACAGGATAACTAGCCAGAAGCAAACCCCAAGGGAGACCTGAGCTTCCCCAACAAGGAGGGAAATGAACAAGTAGAGGGTCAGAGGAGGTAAGTGGTGTTTTCTAGTTTTCACAAATAAAGGAATACTGCACACATTTAACTTTGCTCACCTCATCTTGGGCTACTTGAGCTGCCTTCTGATCTGCCTCATCAGCCTGGGGAAAAAAGAAGAAGTGGGTGGAGGGGAGATAAAAAAAAAAGAGACAAAAGGACAAAAGAGTAACACTTCTGATTTATTCATACTCATTAACTTATGTAGGCAGGACAAGCAGGTACCCACTCAAATACGCTCCCATTGTCTCTGAATTTATTTAGCTACCTCAATACTTGCCTCTAACTCAACACCAAACTGTCATTTCAGCTTTTCAGCTGAGTTTTCTCCCCATCTATCTGCCAGGCCACACCACAACACATTGCCCATCCTGTTGCCCCCTTTCTCTCAAAGATGGGCACTGGTCTGCCTCACTTCTGGGCTGACCACACGAGTAAAGGCCTTATTACCTACCTGGAAATGTACATTTAATATCACTCTACTTTAATTATTTAATTTTAGGGTATTTATTTCAGAAAATAAGGCTCTGCTGGCCAGATGCCAACTGTCACTCCATATACGTGTGTATGGGAGACAAAACGTAACTACCAGAATGAACAGTAACAAGACTTTAGGTCTTAAAGTCACAAGTTTACAAATGAAAGTTGTCATCACTGGCTACCTTAGCTCCTTTGAGTTCACTAAAGCATCCTCTCTGCTTACCAGGAGCTCTTCCTCCTGCAGCTTCCGAGCAATCTCTGCATCAGACAACTCCTGTTCCCTTTGGGGTGTATCGTACATGGCTTGCTTCATCCCCCTCAAGTTACTGCCTACAGAATTGAGAGAGAAACCAATCAACTCAACCATTTTCCACATGCTTCAGTAAGGAAATTCCCACCATTTCCTGAGCCACTTGCAAATGCCCCATTCAAGGGGATCAGAGACCATGACAGCATACCTGCCAGGCAGCTGATTTGAGAGTACCTTTAGCTGAGGTGCAGCATGCATATAGAAATATCTGATACATCATGTCCTGTATGACAAATGCAACTAGACAGCAGAAGAGGCCATGTGATTTGAAGCAGTCTTTGTTGACCCAGTGATCCTAGCAAAAGAATTGTGATTTTTCACACTCTGCAGACACACTGATACAGATACACTGGTAAAACCTGGCAGCAGAGAGCAGCTCAACACCTGTAATGAGCACAACAGAATCTGGGAACACACTGATGGAAGTGGCATGGGCTGCCAAAGTTGCCTGGGACAGGCTCACATAAGGTTACAGACAATTTCTTCATTAAGCTGACCCATGAATTTTACAGTTTAGTGAGAAAACAGCCAAGTAAACACTTCTGAAGTTCATACAAGGTTCAGTTAGTGCTTTGAGCTCAGAGTTTTATTTGTTTATTTTAAAGTTAAACCATCTCCAAATGATCTAAAATGTTGTATTTTGAGAGTCTCTCCATAGTCTATTTGCACCAGGCCAAAGGAGTCTCACTGTAACCCTGTTATAAAATGTATGACTTCACTCGTATACAATGAATGCCTTCTCCTTCCATCTGCAGTCTGAACTGTATTATTCAGACACCTCAGACATCTAAATGAGCTTTCTGCTTTGTGTCCGAAGTATGTACTCCAGACGCCTGTGTCTCTTTCACCTCAAACCCAGAAAATTTTTCCTTCCAATCTTTTAAAACCAAGTGGCATAACATAAAGTAGCCAACTGATTTCAAAAAATATTCTGTGCATCTACCAACAAACTACCATCATACTCACAGTATCACAGTATCACAGTATCACAGTAGGTTAGAGATTGGAAGGGACCTCAAAAGATCATCTAGTCCAATCCCCCTGCCGGAGCAGGAACACCTAGATAAGGTTACACAGGAACGTGTCCAGGCGGGTTTTGAATGTCTCCAAAGAAGGAGATTCCACAACCCCCCTGGGCAGCCTGTTCCATACTCCACCAAGCATCCCAACGACTTCAAACTGCAGTGGGCCAGAGACCTCATGCATCAACCCAGAATAAAGCCATGGAATAGGAAAACACCTCTTCTATGTGTAGTAAGGAAAGCTTGTGGGGTTTTCTACTTTTTGTTTTGTTTGAATGAACTAATTAATTACCTCAACCAATTAACACCCCTTTTACAAACCACCTTAGCATAAGAAAACTTCAGCTCTGGCATGCTATGCTTAAGAATATGACTTGGCCTCTCCTAGCATACTTCGATCAATCAAAGCTGTGAAGAGCTGCAGTCCATAGCCAGCACAGAAACTCTGGCAAAATGCACCAGCTTGGTCAGAGTTAAATTACTCAAGGTCAAGGCAAACACAGTTTCACATGCTGGAACAAAAAACAATGCGGCCAACAGGCTCCTGTACAGCATTAACTCTATGAAGAATAAAAATTTCCAGGAATTGTCTGCTGGCCAACCTGAGGCTGAGCCTTCTTCACCCACTGATTGGTGCCAGGCTCTTTTTGCTCAGAAGACAACAATAAAAGTTACTTGCACATCACTTCTGCCCAAACTCAAGGGAATACAAAGCACACCATAACCACAGCCCCATGAAGCGGATGTGAGCTTTTGGCTATTTTGACTCCACGTGATGGGATACTGAGTTACTTGGGTCTACACTGTATCAGAGCAAATCATGACCTACTGATAACATGTAAAGACCTAATTAACTCCTTCCACTCACCCCAATAAAATTTTGCATGATCAAGATGATGAATAATTCTCCCAGCATCTCCAGAGACAGACATGCATTACCACCTTCACCTTATCCAAGTGAAGACCAGTTAGATGCCTTAAAGCACAGAGTCCCATGACACAGACAGACACAGGTCCAAGTAAATGCCTACTTCTACTAAGAGGCATGTCACCCTCAGTTCCAGTGGGGTTTTAAGAGCAGAAATACAGATCTGGACCTTTAAAACCTATCAGACCCCAAGTGCTACTGGACAACAAGAACTACACAAGTATGTGTTTCTCAGAAAAATCCACCTGTACTGAATTTGATGAGTCCCATCTAATAAATGGAGCCCAGCTGGACACCTAGTGCTGCTATTGAACTTTGCTCAAAATGAATCAATTATGTTGCCAGCAGGGCTTTCTGTGAGAAGTGATGGAAATTGCTGGCTTGTTAGTACTTAAGCAAACTATCTTCATTTACAGACCTGCACCCCAAACCAACCAAATGTAAGTGCAACCATAACATTTGGGGTTTTGTTAGTTTTTCTTTTTTCTTTTGTTCAAGGAGACCACAGCACAAAATATATAATGGAGAAAACCACAATGCCCCCCCCCCCCCCCCAAATAAAGAACCCAAACCCAAACAGCTGGCTGTTTGTTGGTTGCTTTTATGGGGGTTTTGGTTTGTAGGGGTTTTTTAATTAAACACAGGATAACATGGGCACCATTTCCAATAATATCTTCTTATTCATCCTCTCTGATGCCACAGAACATGTCAGAAGATAAACAGAGCAAGAATATTAATTGATAAAAAGAATCTCACTAAATAAGGGAGAACCCTGGGCAGGATTCACCATGTACACAATGCAAGGGGATATCAGAGATAAGCTTTTCCAAAGGACACAGTACAGATTTTAGACACCAGGATGGGGCACACAAAGGTCCATCCACACATATATGTACACCTTCCCCATCACATGGTTACCTGAGTCTTGCTGGCAGTATCCAACCTTCCCCTGGGTCACAGCATGTGGGGAGGAGGAAAGTCTCCTGTGTCCTGACCTTTTGTAGTCTCTCTCCTCACCCCTCCTATGATCATCTCTAGATTCAGCATCATGAAGCTTCTCATCATGCACCATCCTGTGTGACGAGTGGCCCCAGTGACGTGATTTCTGTTTTCCAGGGCGCACCAGCTGGCTGCTGCCCCAGTGCCAAGTCTCCTGCTCAGCCTCCAGTTCCATCTCAAGAAGAGGAAAGCGCTTTTCTCTCTCTTGCCTTGCTGGCTTTCTGCTGTGCCATGCCTGGTCTGCAAGTCTATGATCTGACTCCAAGTCAAGACTGACAGGTCTCCAAGCCTTCTTCTTGCTGGCTGCCCTCCTCTCCTGCCGCTCCCAGCTATTGCTGTGGTCATAGGTGCTGCGCTCAGCCTCTCCTTCCAGGTCAGGGCTAGGATGTCTCCTGGACCTGCCTTGGCTGGCTGATTTCCACTCCTGCCGATGGCCACTGCTGGCCTCACTCAGTTGAGCAGACCACTGATGATCCTCTGAGGTGGAATGCCTGTGTTTGGCCGCACTGCTGGACAAAGGCAGGGGTGCTTCTCGGTGCTCTCTCTGCAAGCGCGTGTGCCTGTCACCACTGCATGCCCTGCAAGGCTCAGAAACCTGCTCTCTGGGATCACCCCTGGGGTGCTCTGAGCAATGCGGGGACAAACAATGACCAAGTTAGTGGTGCAAGGGTTAATAGTGGCTCAGCAAGGCCACACTCATAGCATGCAGATGAGGGAGCTTGATGCAAGAAGAAGCTGGAAATACATGCAAAGCATGATGGGGTCAGAAAGAAGAATAACAGGGATATAATTCTTCCAAGATATAATGGGAGATAGAGTGAAATTGCAGCCTGGCCATCAGCAAAGCAGCACAGGAGGCAACAGAGTTGGAGCTGAACACACAGGTCCAGCCCAAAAGTGTGTCCAAGCACATCCCAAGACAAGGACAAGCCAATATGGAGATGAAGGACTTCCACTGATGTCCTTGGGGCTGAAAAATAGCCAGCAGAAAAGCTCATCTGGTGGCACAGCACTGCTGCAGGATACTGAAGCCACCAGAGAAAGTCTTGCAGGAGGGTACAAAATGCAGGTAAGCAGATGGGGAGATGTCTGTGTGCGCGACACAACAGACTGCCATGTATCTCTTGCAGACACACAAGTTTCACTACCTGCACATATTCATTGTCTAAATAGAAGTTTAGTCTCCAACTGCAGAGAGGGCTACAAAAATTTAAGGGCAGCAGAAGACTTCCCAAAACCCAAGCTCCTGACTTCAGCAACATAGCTGGAAAAGCCGCTTACTTGGCAGCTTGGTGGGGCTTTTTTCCTCCATGCTTTCCAGAAAGCAGGTGGAAATTTCCTTTGCTTTTAGTTTCTGTAATAAACCTGACACAGCTATGAGGATGCAGCAGTCTGCCTGTTTGATTTATTTTCCAATCAACTTATTTGCTAAGAAAAATCATTGCACCGAGTGAATTACTATTTCTCTACAGCAGCTTTTCGGAATGAAAGCGTATTTCTGAAGAAAAAAATTGCCTTGATGCAGGGGCTGATTTTAAACAGAACTATGCAAAAAACCCCCACAAAACAACACCAAAAAACCCCCAAACAAACCCCCCAAAATAAACAAATAAAAAAACCCCCACAACCCGCAAAATCACCAAACCCAAAAAACAGCAGCAGACGGCTTTCTTTCTCAATGAGAAAAGGTGTTTTTTTATAGTATCTGCAAATATTTAAAATAGATTTCATTGCACAAAAGCTTCATTCGGTTTGAAGAAATAGCTCTGCCTTCCTCCAATCATTTAGATTTCAGGGTAGGAACAACAACAACAAAAAAAAAAAAAAAAAAACCTGCAACCTAAAACCAACACCACCACTCCCCCAAATCTGAACGCTCCCTTCAAGTCCTTCTATTCAGAAAAATCTTCCAAAGCCAGTGAAAATAAAGCCTCCAGAAAATCCACCTTGAAAACAAATCTCTGTGACTTTTATCCAGAACAGGTGTATTTTTAAAAATCTAGAAACCGTAATGTGGTTTCTCTTAACTGGTTGCTCTTCCTCTTCAGTTTTAGATCATTCACATGATTTACAGCAAAATATTCAGTAAAACAATCTATGTGACTTACTGAACAACAGAGACGAGAGCCTGAAAGCAAGAGTCAGATTTGGAACAATATTAACTAGAGTCTAAGAATTTAATTTTGTTATTAAGGAAAGCTCTGTAAATACAGCAGCAGAGAGAGGAGATCATGAAAGAGCAAAGCACAGCTACACTGGAAAGGATTGCTACAGGTAACACAACTGTGCCAGAGAGCTCAAGCAGAAGATTTGCTTTTGGGGTATCTCAGGGAGATTAACTCCTCAGCAGGCACCAGTTCCTGTGGCACCTTCCACAGGGGCTGTGTAAACACTCCTTAGGTCCCGGTGTTACTCTTGCACACAGCAAGTGACTGAGCAAATACAGAAATGTTTTTCATGGCACAGACACTTTGGAAGGGAGGAACTCCTCCTTTTTTCATGTTTATTTTTACAGTTTTTAAGAGCTGACATTGCTTTGGAGCACTAGCCCTAATCCACGTACTTCCTGGATGTGGAGAAATTTTTATTCAGTCTCAAGACAGACTAAAACCCAAACAAAAAAGGCTTTTTTTTGTCGAAGTTCACAAATAATGAGGACAATACAAACCAAGCATGCTGAAGCCAAATCAAATGCTGCTCAAGTATTTAAGAGATTCCAGATCAACAGAATCCAAGCACCAAAATCCACTATAGTCCTTTCTTATTTTTAAGGAGCATGGATCAAGAGCAGCACTACTATTGAATGGCCAGGCAAAGCAACTTCTGCCTCACCTCCAAGACTACAGATTACTGCAGGAAGAAAAGAATCAGACCCACAAGATATCCTGCTATCCAAATCCGCATCACAGTCTCAATTCAGAGAGACACAGGCTTTTGTCAACTGATTTATGTTACAAGAATCTATCCTGTCCTACCACCTCCACATGGCAACACTACTGTCTATATCGTATTTTTTCAGGGACTTGAATCATTTCATTCTGAAAAGCTGGAGTGTGGGTCCACTATAAGACTCCCAGCTCAAAGTCTTTCCCAGCTCTGTACACGTAGCAGGACATGTGGTCATGAAGTTTCCACTTGGTTACTGGTTTGCACTTGTACTTTGTGTTTTCTTGGCCATTCTTGAACTTCTTCCCAATTGAAATGAAAATATTTTATGTAAGTTCAAACAAAAGTAATTTAAAATCATCAGCAGCAATGATGTGAAAATAAGATACCAATGGCGTTGATCTTAAAATAAGAAATAAGAGGATTGATCTTCATCTTCACAATCTGTTAGTTAAAAGCAGCCAATCTTTTCCCCACCACACTTTTTTTTTAAGAAAGAACACAAGAACCACCACCAGTGCACAGCAAAGCCATCCCTAATTGCACCATAATTAAACATACCCTGATTCTCTCCTCCCAGTTTAAAGTCTGTATTCAATCATAAAAGCTGGCCAAGAGAAAGCAATACAGCACTGTAGGTCATATTTTTTCTGCAACATACAGTCCCAGATGACAATCACAGCAAAGACATTCTGTGGAGATGACCTTGTTATTCAGTAAGTCATTCAAAGCAGTTGTGCTAATTTTAAAGCTTGGATACATACCTGCACGGAGTTTTGAAAGGCTGATCCATGAACTAGCATTTATTCATTTATGCAGTTGTGCCAGCATCAAAGATGAGCACATGAAACTGTTACTCTTCAAATGCAGGCATGGAATTCTGGCTGCATTTTAACTCTGCTTGTGGGGGTTGTACAAGTGGGGTTCCAGTTGTAATGTTTGTGGGGTTACACATAAGTAACTGGTTTATCAGCTACTGTCTTTTTTCCACAAGCCATTTTAAAACATGCATGTGTGTGTGTGCTTGCACGTACACACACCCTAACCCAGTGCTTTAGGCCACCTTCTAGGACATAGAAAATTACAAATTTGCCTTCTCTGCTTTTTCCTACGGTTTGTTTGGTTTTTGTTTTTCTGGGGCTTTTTTTAAAATATTTCTTGATTCTTGTATAAGAGTCTGATCTTGACCCTGAAAACTGATGCAATGCTACAGTGCTGAATGCAGAACTGTAGGATAAGGGAAGTCTCCTAAACAGAGTTGCCAGATCACCAGGTTCACCTACACTGCCATGATCTTAATTCTCTTATCTAGCAGAAACATACCTCCATTTTCTGCATAATAGCTATCTTCATAGCCTGTGTGTCCCTGGGATTCTGTGTAGTGCTTCTTCCGCTTTTTTTCTTCTTGCAGTTCTTTCTGCTGTAGAAGACGGGCAATGTCCTGCAGAGATGAAAGGAAACAGACATCACCTTTCCTCCTAAAATATGTCTCCAGATGCTTCTATTAGAATTCTTAACTCCGTTATGAAAATCCTGTCTGGAAAAATTAAAAAGGGTTACTCTGAAATTCAATCCCTGGGCTGATGAGTTTCAACATAGCAGTTGAGACAAGGGAGCATCTCAGCAACTAGTACCCAACCTCACCCACGTCCACCAACTGAGCTTCCAGCACTGTGGCAGACTTGCAGGCTCCTGTTCCACTTGCACACAAGCCTGCAAAGCTCTAATGGCCAAAGCATGGCAGAAGGAATTGTGTGTGGAACCTCAGGCCTTTAACAAGGATTTGAAAGTCAAGCAAGCACACACCTGCTCACACAAGTGCACTGGACCTCAGCCTGGACTACACCAGGAAATCAGAGGCAAAGAAATGTCTACAGCTGAAGCCACTTCTGACTGGAAGAAGGTCTCAGAGCAAGTCATGAACTTGCTTCAGATTGGCTGTAATTTACAGGGACTGTAAGATGCCAGGCAGGGAAATGAATCAGTTTGACAGACAGAGGCTGAAGGAAAAGAAAATCGAAAGGGACATTAGAAGGAACAGGCAGGGCACAAGGCAGGACTGCTGCAGAGACTGCAGATGTATATCTTCTATCACAGTTTTGGTAGATGCTCTATCGAAGAGAACAGCACTCCATTTTCCCAACTGGTTTTCCTTTGAGATGACTAATAGATCAACAAGGCCCATCAACAGCAAACAGCTCCCTCAGCTTTGCATATTTAGGGTCCAGAAGCTTGCTGAGTCAGTGGAGCTAGCCTGAAGCAAGGAAGAAAAGCTGGAAGATAGCAGCAGGTGGGTATGCTAGCCCTTTGGATTCTTTTCCTTTAAGCTTCCCTAATCCTCAGGACCTTTACAGAGCCACGCATGTAAAGTGCACACTACAGGCAGGAATGGCATCACTGAAATGCAAACTTAAGAGTATCAACACCCTCCAGAGCAAAGAAGCCAGCACTGGCGGACATTGAATTGGTATTCAAGTACAAACTATTATTTCAGGATTCATATCAGATCTGCTCAGTGACAACTTTTGTGCAGAACCTGTAGAGGCTCTTTGCCAATAAAAAAAAAAGGAAAGAAACCCAACCTTCCCCCCCCAGTTTTGTTCCCCTGACAAGGTTAATGTCTTCTAGCAAATACAGTAGGTCTATAAATACATGGGCTTAAGCACATTATCTCCAGGCCTGAGACAGCTCAGGACTTGCAAATCCACACAAACCACTTCTTACAAACTGGACTTACAAGCAGGTAGGCTTAGCACTTCATTTAAAAACCCTGCAGACCAGACTGGATCTGCCTCAACCACAGCATTGGCATAACACTACTAGCCGCTACTGATACTAGAAAACTATTGTATACATTGGGCAGCTACTGCACCCTCATGTGTGACAAGTTGCAAGGATCTGTTGTCAGACTGCTGACATGCCAGCAGCTTTCTCTGTAAAGCAGGAAGGAAAGATGCAATTCCCCCATAGCCAGCATGAGTAGTATTGTACCCCGATTGTCTTCCTGATAAATATCAAACAGATTGTCACACTTACAGCACAAATCCTTTAGCCAGTGTTCCTTCTACCCCATTACCACAAGCTTCTACAGGAAATCTTCCACATCTGCTTGGGCAACCTTTCAGTACTTGCTTGGAATTAATGGAACAAGAAGAAAATGAGATCTTGCACAAGCAAACTGGTGCATCTGTCAGGTAAGGACAGATTCTTATTTCAGGCTTCTCCAGGAGACACATTTTGTTCAAGCTCGTGCTATGCAGAAAATTCCACCAGATGCCTCTTGAGCATCTTAAGACTACTCAGACTTCTCAGGAAACTCTCTGTAATAAAAATGGGGCCACACTTCAGGCGCACATGGGTGTTCCTCCACCCTGTGGCTTTCTTAAATACCCGATTTGACAGGCTGACACAATAAGGTGATCAAGCCAAATTCATGGACAAACCATACTGCCTGCTCTCAAGCAACAGCAGCAGTGTTGCTTTGTAATTCTGAAATTACAAAAGCTATCTGCTACCAAGAAACTGCAACAGGGTGTTCAGACTGTGAAAGACTAACATAAAGATGAAGTAAGGTAATGGAGAAGCCAGAGATAGATGGCTGGGCTGAGGGTGCTGCTGAAGTCTTTCCACAAAACAAATCATGACCTAGGATTCTCCAAAATGTAGTACCTGTCTTCTTGTGTATTACTTGCCCTCTTCTCTAGCAAGGCCACTGGCATCAACAACTCTTGTGACCCTTGAGTGTGAGAATTGACTGTATCTTATTCCTGTAACAGGACTCCCCAAAATCTATGTGCATGCAGAGATCTGTGAAGACCAGGCTTGACACCACGCAATCCAGCCCCTGTGGCTAATGACCAAGAAATACCTGCACTGAAAGGGCTGCTACAAATAGCCCTGCCATCCCTGCAGCTTTAAAGGTTACCTCATCCTTTTCCTCTTGCTTGCGGCGCTGTTCCGCTTCAAACACAAGCTTCACTTGGATTTCCTGAGCAATCTCGCAGTCCTGTCGCTCTCTAGAAGGCAAGGAGACAAGGATTATAGGCAGCTAAAGTCATAAGCATCAGCAGCCTGGAAAAAGGGATAAAGGAGCTAAAGAACCCATCTAATTTATACAGAAGAATTATTGCTTAGTGCTAGCACAGAGCCTATGAATCCTCACCAGGGACCAGAACTCCCTGTACTTACTGCTGGCCAAATTTAGAAAATAGGTCTCAAAACATTCACAAACAGAGTATAAAGCAAGAGAAAACGGATTCATGGCCAGTTTCCTAAGAAAGGAAGTAGGCACCACAGGATAGGCCAAGGCAGAGTGAGGAGTCTGCAAACAGTCTAATTCTGCTGAAGAGTTTCCATGCATGTGGTGCCAAAGGAGGGGTTTAGGTTAAGGCAGGCGTTTCTGAGAAGCGGTCTTCACATCAAAGCCAAGAGGGAGAAATTGCAGAAATGCTGACAGTAAAACACAGAACATAGTCCAAGCGGAGGCTGGAGGTGGATGGTCAGTAATGAATGAGAAATGCTGCTGTGGTGGGATGAGACACAAAAGCAGAACTGGTGCCAAGAGGCAAGAGAGCGACATGTGTCAAAACGAGGCATCAGAGAGCCATTGTTGCAGTGCCAGGGTGGATGTGCAAACACAAGATTGTACTAACTGGGTACAGAGAGATACTGGAGTAATTGAGACATGAAATGAGAGTTTCAACTGTGCAGATAGACTGGGAAGGTCATATTTCAGAGATGTCATACAGAAAGCATCTGCAAGAATTGTGTCACACTCAACTGTATACTCTGATGCCCAGCAAACAGGCTGGCCAGGGGTTCCAGAAAAGGGCTGAGGGATTTGAGAAGAAAGATTGAGAACTATCTTTTTCACCACTGTTGAAATTGAGCCAAAGACTAACTCTGAATAGATCAGAAAAATCAATCTAAGCTATCACTGCAATTAAGGCTACTGCAAGGGAAGGCATAGAAGGAAGTGGAGAATGGGAAGAGCAACAGGCAGAGCTTGCATTATTAGTATACTGTCTTTTGAATAATACACTGATGATGATCAGATAGGTGATGGGAAGACTACAAAGAGCGTATTATGGAAGTCAAACAAATATTTCAAGAGAAGCAGGTTCAGCTATGTCAAAGTTGTGTTGTGTAGACTGAAGCAACTAGTTCTAGGCTTGAGCAAGGACCACAGCATAAATGACCTAGTGAACTTGGAGGAAAAGGAATGGAAGAGAGTCTAGGACGTGTGTAGGAAAATAGTAAGCGCAGACAAGCACTTTCAGTGGCAAAACAGAGAAAGTGGTATGGCTGAAGCAGCCAGTGGCACCACGAAGCCTTCTTTTATGGAAAGTGGAGTGAGAGAAGCAGAAGAGTGGCTTAGGGTGGTGAGGAAGGACACTGCAACAACAAGAGGGTTTACAGAACAAATGCCACTAACAGACAACTAATCTGTCATAACAGCAAGGAACGTGCAGCAGGAAGGAAAAGAAGCTTCTTTATTTCTGTCAACTGCTCCTTGGAAGCAGACATGCAACTAGGTACTGCATGTTATTTATATACCCTTCTCCAAGCACGTATGAACCCCAAGTTAGTATTAAAACATTTCCTTCCATTTCCTACACCACCACACTCGCAGACAATTACGCATATCCATAAACTGACCCACCTCTAGAGACACCCTGAAAGGCACTCAGGAATTTCAGTGTTTGTAGGGCTGGAATTATCAATAGGTCAAATATCTTCAGACATCAGGTTCTCTTATTCAGGTATAAAACCTGGCATTTTGTGTGTGCTCCTGTATGCATTTCACTTAACTCAAAAGAAAGGCCTGTTCAAAGGCACACAAGCTCATGCAGCAGCAAATCTAGTTCTTGAACCTGCCATATAAAAAGGGACCTTGGCAAACCTGTCACCAGCAGGGAACCAGTCCCCAGCAAAACAAGAGCTGAATATGCAAATCCTGAGGAGCAGGCTGTCAGTGGGCCCAAGAGAGCAACTCCTTAATGACCCCAGTCTCAGAGGACATGAATCCAGGTAGAAAATCAGTTTCAAAGGTCAGACATATCAAGGCATTGCACATCTCCAGTTCCCTCAGCACCTGCGAACTGAGCTAAGGTGCCAAGTTCATCAGCTCCAACTGACTTGCTAAATGCTTAAAATACATCTTGTTGCAGACAAACAGGAGATAAAAAGACAGCTAATCATCTTTCAGAGCCAAGGCAACAAGGTCATTGCTTCTTCATTTACGGCAAAGAATACTACAAGTAATGCAAAAGCAGAAGTATCTGCTTGTTCCTGATGACACGCACCTTGGAATACACCATATCCACCTCTAGGAACCACTGAACAGCAACAGGGGATCATATCCTGGGTTTTACTGCTCAGTGGTAAATACTGAGACTTGATTAGTTAATCAACATAAGCTAGTGGTTCAACTTGACTGAGCATAAGAAAACAGATTAAAGAACTTTGACAGCTCCTCTCATCCTTCAGTTTCTTTAGTGTGAGTTCAAGTGCCCATCAGTCCCCAGAAATTGGCCAGAGCAACATAAACATTATCATCCCTGAACGCCACTACTATGTACATGCCCATTGCTCCTGGGCAGCCAGGAGTGTTAGAAGTGTCAGGGAACCTCTGCATCAGTTTAGGAAAAAGAGGAAAAAAGTCAGTGTGATTAGAAGCCATTCAAGTTGGCCGCAGGAACTAACAGTTGCCAGATGAGGAGTTAAAAAAAAATATTAAAAGGTTTAAGGGAACTGTTTAAAGGAACTGCTCATGTTAGTGTAATAGAACCATCACAGCACTGGAAGCGAAACAAGGAAGGAGCACATTTTTCACAGTATTTCCAACAGTTATTTTAGCAACCTTGCTACTATGCTTGGCAGCATACATATTGCTCATCTAGATGCGAGAGATGCTCCTAAAGAAGCATGAAAAAAATGACGTTTGATGCTTCCCTGAATTCCTAAAAGTTATTTCTATTCCCTCATTTATCTTCACAAAGTCTTTCTGAGAGAATGTAGGATTTGAAAGACAAAAGAAAGCCCATAAATTTGAAGAGCTTTTTTATGTTCCCTGTTTCTAAAGGCCACCCAGTTCTGCCCTTTTATTCCTATGATCACCTTGCAATGTCAAACTGTCCTAGATGATACGGAAAGCAACAACAGCAAAAATCATTTTGTTGCCAGAACATGCTGATCTTGCAAAAGAAGACAGTGGGAATGTACGAAGAATTAAGGAAGAAAAAGATCCAATTACAAAAGGATGCCTCCAACTTTTTTTACTATCCTTGCAGAAGAGCTCAAGCTTTCAGGAGCAGAACAGCTTCTGACACAACATTTTTCATCAGCCGTTCTGTCTGTAACTTGGCCCACAAAGTTCATAAATAGCACTTCAGAGTCCTACAAAAAGAAAATTGTTTGCAGTTCCCAAGCAAGTAACACAAAGGAATCATCTCTGCCATGCAAAGTTAATTTTTATATTGTCACTTACATGCTCACATCTCTAACTGGTAATGAAGACAAAATTCTTGAAAGAAAGCACAGACTTCAGATACACACATGTATCTACCCAGTGCTGCCTGAGCATGCTGGGATCATTTAAAACACTGGATGATCTGTCACGTCCCAGCTTCAGATCTTTTATGAACAGCTCCTTTGAAGCCAGTCCTCTATCTCACACATCTGCAATACAGAGCTTTTCTACTTCATCGCTGTCTCTGCCAGATGAGCCACCCAACTGCAGCTGGTGGGTGGCATCACGGAGCACAACACAAGACGGGAGGCAGCATACCCGCTGGGAGATGCATCCTGCCATGCAGACCCTACATTTGCAGGGAGCCCCATCTTCCCATCTCTCATCACTGGGATCTGACTGAACCCTGTCACACGATCCATTTGTCTCTTGCATTTGCAAGAGACTAAGTTGGGGGGGAAGCAAAACGCACCAAACAGTCACACACACAAAAAGACCCCCCCACACAAAAAAACCCACAAACCAAACCAAAAGCCCAAACAAACAAACAAAAAATTAGAAAAGAAAAGCACCAACATCCACTCTGGCTTGGAAAATACAGTTTGTTTTGCCCTGCACTGCCAGTGTTTCATTTCTATATTCCCCCCCCCAGCTCAAGAACCATGGCACACACAAAGCCAATTCTCAGGCCACAGGGTCAGATCTGGTGTGTGGGGCCTGAGCAAACCTATAGAGCGAACTGAACACTCATTAAACATCCTCCCACAGCTGCTGCACAAGTCAGAGATTTCAGGAGAAGGCCTGTACCCCAACACCCATCTCCACCCTGGGGCAGAAGCCTCTCTTCCCAAGTCACTTCACACTGGAATATCTGCAAGCGCAAGCATGAGCCCCTCAAAAGCACTAATGAGGCACAATGTAAACACACCAATATGTGCAATTTCCACAAGACTGAGAATTCACTGTAACACTGTGTATTTCTGTGGTGTGATTTCTTCTTTCTCAGACTTCAGCCAGAGACAAGGTAGATAGATGCAACTGGCCAAGTTACCCCATTTGCCCACAGGGAGCAGAACAGGAAGGCTCCTTCCCATGGTCAGGCAACAGAAACTAAGCCAGGATTGGCCCCAGGACCACTTACTCCCAACCCTGTTCTCATTACTGTGTGCCAGAGCCTAGTAGTATCAATACTTTTACAGCAACAGAGCACCAAAGGAAAAAGGAAACAAAAGGCTGATCAACCCGTACGCCACATACTGTCAATTAACTCAACTCAGAGCAGCTGACTCCAGTGCTCTGACCAAATAGGATCAGCATTCCAGCAGCTCCATCCCAAACTCACAAGTCTTTTTGGTGTTTCTGGATTTGAGCTCGTGCTTTCAGATCTTCTTCTTTTTGCAGTTGCTTGGCCACCCGCAAGTCATGTTGCACGAGACGATTACGCTGAACATTTGTTGCCAAGTGATGCTCGACTGGAAATAAACACAGACAAGAACCCCAAATCAGCCTGCAGAACTTTATGGTGTGAATGAGACAAAGCAAGTGGGACGAAGATGCCAGGCCAAAAGAGAAGACAGTTCTTGGCAGGGAAACATGCAGTATGCCTAAAGGTGGGGAAGTCCTGAACTGAAACTACACTAGCAGCTTTAGATTGCCTCATTTTAGCACTGAGGGGGCTGCATATGTGTGTTACCAAAACAAGATCTGCATATTTTCAGCACATCCAGGTTTAGAGAGAATGCTTTTTAGGCTCTGAATCTCATTTTTTGGCCATGGGAAATTATCCTAGATTAATTTTGTGGCTGGAAGGGACCACCAGAGGACAGTGAGAATGAGCTGAACCTAAACCACTTCTGATGGATGCTTTGGTAATTTGTTCTCAAGAACCTCTGGAGGAAGAAACTCTTCTTACTCTCAACATAATCATTTCCAGAATCTCATTACCTTTATATTTAGTAACAGAGCAACCGAGTACTATAGTGAATCCTTTACCATACATGGATACTGCCTGCAAGAAAAGATGGCAATGTGAGCAGCAGCTGAGAGAGCCATCTTTAATTCAGTGTTCTCAGGTTCCAGCAGCAAGGGCAGAACTTCAGTGCAAGCTACACGCTTGGCAGAGTAGCGGGAATGGTATTAGCACCTAGCAATGGTAGATACTAATGGTCTTGGCACCCAGCAAAGCAGATTAGAGAGGCCACCACAACCAGAAGCTGCAATGCAAACATACCCAAAGTAACAGATAAGCAAGTTAAAAAAAGAAAATATGTAAAAATCACCAGCCACTTCTAAGTTTCTGGCTGTACTTTTTTTCCTCCTTTTTAAACCCTTGTAGTATACAGCTGCTCTACCTCAAAGCGTCTTAAAAGGAAGCCTTTCAAAAGGCAAGCACTAGCAATTGTAAAATAAATACATAAACAGAGCTCTTCTGATTGCATTTCAGGTCACTCTATAAAACTTGAAGCTTCCAAAATTGCTAGTAATTTCTAAAAAACGTGCACAGCAATAAAACTTCAAGTGCACTCCCACATGCAGTTTTATCATGAACAGAATAAACTCAAAAGAGCACAAAATTAAAACATGAAATACAACTCTCTAGGTAAAATGGGAGGTTGTATCTCTAGGGTACAACATGACCTGGGACACAAAACAGAGTGGTGTTACAGGACAGTGAAGACAGTAATAATAATCTGGATTCCATTAAAAAGAACAAAAATGAAATCAAAGCAAGGAAGGTTTTTCTTAGCAAAAAATGAAAGGGGATTTTTCTTAACAAAACTGAAGACTCATCTGTTGGAGAAAATGTTTCAGTTTGTTCCAAAGATCACTGCTACTTACTCTCCTGCTCCTGTAAGTTGTGGGCCAAAGTATGATCTTCCAAAATAGCAAAGTCTCGACACACTAGATAGGGAAACAAAGACAAGAGAATTAGCATCAGGACCAAAAAAAAGGAAGTATCAAAAAAAGCTATGGGTGTCAGGGGAGCATACGTACACAGATTCCTGACATACTTTCTACCAGCCAAGGTCTGGACTTGGCCTGTTTTCCCTCTCCTTGTGGCTATTTTTGCATGCAAATACTTCTTCATCCCTGTTTGCATAAAAAGCCTTCTCCACTCTCCCCTCCACCTCTGCTTCTTTAGTTGAAGACCAGAATTGCCACTGGATTAAAAACCCCTGTATTCCACACAGATTTATACCGATGCACTGACTGTGTTCAACTTAAACCAAGAACAAGGGTTTGTGCTTACTATGGCTTTCTTTGCCATGTCAAGAGTTCGGGAATAGTATTTTCTCTGCACAAAGGCACATGCACACTGTCACCTGTCTGGAGCAGAGCAGACTGAGCTCCAAGGATCTCACTGCAAGGCATTTCTACCAGCTCAGGCATCATTTTACAGTTGTCTTTTGTAAGCTTCATTGATCTTTTTTTCAAGTGCAGATACTGGATTTGTACCTAGAACCCAGATAAGGGATCAACCACAGTATTAACAGCAGGGATAAGCACAGCTTCTTAAAAGATGCTGAAAACAACCCAGAAACAAGTTGAACGGGAAGGTGACGACCTCTCTTTGGCATCAGTCTGAAAGCAGCAGATTTTTGCCAATGCCTATCACTTTCACATCTGAACTTTCAAAGGAATGATCTACCCACACTGTAGAAAAACACCAGTACTTATTTTTAACTTGTTATGATAGGCAGCAGGTCAACAAAACACAAGTCACATACACACTGGGACAGAAGGACACACACAGCACCTAGTTCAGCCTTTTGGAGATAGGTGCACATTAACTTCTCAGTGAACAAGCTGTGCTCTGTGTCCCCCAGACTGGAGGATGGGGCCCCGCTCCACACATCTGCCATACACAGGGCTACTGTCTGCTTCAAGGGGAGTTTAAGGCAGATGCAATGCAAAATTTACACTGGAGAGGTCTGTCACTTGTGTTTCCCTCAATGTGACAAGCTCAGCAGCTCAACATGACCTGAGAGGGGAGTATGCCCCATATGGAACATAAGGCACAAAGCAGAGAACTATAAGGTCCTTCCAAAGCTGCAGAGGGAGCACACTGCCACTGTGCTCCATAGGAAAAACCCCCAAGAAAGCCTACAGTTTCTCTTTAACAGAGCACCCTGACAACCTAGAACAGAATGTGAAAATAACCCCAAACACCCCAGAATGTACCAAAACTACATGGAGAATTTCTGAAGAATCCATTTAAGAAAAGGGTTCAGAGAAGAGAAAACATTTCCATCACTGCAAAGGGTGGGAAATACGAGGGAACAGGACAGCAGCCGTATCTTCCCAAGCCACAGTCCGACAAGCCTTCCCTCTACTTGCACTGATGCAAATGCTCTGCTGGAGAAGCATCGAGATGTTCCTCTGCACTCAGGTATCTTCACAAAATATCTAGAAGAGTTGTGTACACTAAGAGGTCAGATATATGATAAAAAAATAAAGCATTTTCAACAGAATTTTTGTTGAGTCTTTCTGCATTTAAGGGTGTTCTAGAGATGACAAAAGCTCCAAACAGCAAGAGCAGTGCTTCAGGGAAGGAGAATGAGAAGCAGCAAGGTGAAGATGAGGACAAAGACAACGGTGACTCACTTTTAGCAAGTACAATTCTGGATGGTGCAATTAAGGTTTTGTTACGTTTTGTTTGTTTGGGGGTTTTTATTGCAACTCTTTTTTTAAAAAAAGGAAAGAGGATAAAAACCACTAAATAGCACTGAAACACTTCCAGTGGGCATATGTGTATAAACAAACAAACACTGCCTTCAGCCACAGATCTGGCAAAACCACAGCTCAGTTGCAGGCAGCAATGCTACTTTACAGGTGACACACCAGGGCACTTGGTGGTGATGAACACATTTTTCTATAGGATAGGGCAAGGGGATCTTGCCCACAGAGACTTTATTTCTGTGGTCCCTAATACTACTTCAGCTACATAGTACAATTGTGAACAACCACCTTTTGCTTACAACAGGCATCATCTGGCCTCCTGGAAGGGGACAACCAACTTGAAGGTTTGAGCCCTGCTGTCAGTTCAGAGCTAAGGAAAAACACCTCAGTGCAAAGACACAGTCTGTCTAAATCTAGTGCTGAGCTTTTCCCACCACATATTCAAGAAGCAGCACTTGCTCCCGACAGTTACAAAAATAAAAGCCCCCCCCCCCAAGTGTTATTTTTAACTGCAATGGGTCTCTAAGCAAGTCCACTGCACAGCTGCCTGAACAGCTGTACTAGTAAGACAAAGCAGGCAGCACAGGAACAAGGGGGAGCTTTTCAGAGCTGCATCACTTTTGCATAGAAACTGCTGCCGTAAGAAATGCTTATGGAACTGCATCCCTGCCTTTCCCAGCTCCTCTCTTTACAAGCTCATACACTGCTCTGTGCCCTATGGTATTCAAGAACTCTGCCTTGCTGCTCACTGCCGATGTTCTGGCAGACCTTTCCCACATCCTCCCCAGAGAAGCACACGCGCAGAGGAGGACTTCAGGGTTTTTTACTCCATTCAACCCACACCCAGACACACTTCTCTATTTGTGAAATAATATGTTGACAGAAACACGCTTGGCACACAGGCAAGAAAGTGGGAGGGCCGTAGTAGAACACTGCTGTGCTTGACAGTCTTGCACCAACTCCCAAAAAGTCTCATCTCCTCCAGTGATTATGTCCTACAATATAGCAATGATTGCTTAACCCTTTTGGACTGACAGGCCACTAAAAACTTTCTAAAGAAAGCATGGACTCAAAAGGTCGAGTGTGTGTTCTTCTAGCTGCTCCTCCAGAGATCTGTTTGAAGTAGTCCATGGGCCTCCAAAGTTAAACAAACAAGCAAAAATAAAGAAACTCCTCTGGCCCTCTCTTCCTACAGGACACAGCCAAAAGCTGCTGGATGCCAGACATAAAACAGGGACCATACCTGAGTTTTTTTGGCTCTTCAGGACCAGTGTGTGCCACCTGAAGCTCACTGCATGGGCCAGGAAGCAGGTACAGCACAGGGTACCATCACCTGCACTTCCCAGCTCAGGACCCAAAATAGCCTAGATCAGATCCAGCACCACTCTTAACACAGCCAAGCAGCACCCAGGCCTGAGGCTGCACCAAACCACCACCCACCCTGTCTCTGCACAGAGGGACAAAAGCAAGTGGAGACAATGCCCCAGGACGAGCTACCAAGTTGAAGAGCCTAGAGATGAATACCACGGCTTGGTCTTAAAACAGTGATAATTATCACATCAAGATCCAGTATAAAGAGAAGGAAGCAGGATGGTTATTAACACCATGGATGCTGGAAGCTCCCAAGTGTCTGGGCTTCCATGGTGCCCCATCTCACAGAGGACACAGCATGGAGCAGACTGTGGGGCAGCAGCAAGCCCAGGGTTTGATTCACACGTTTGGATTCATGTATGCACTGCTGAATAAGCCAACTGACTGCATATGCACTCCCATTAAGCTGCTCTTACAAACCCACAAATGGATGGCTCCAGCACACAGCCTTTGCTTTGTGCTGCTGAAGCTGCTGGCAGGACAGCACAAGAAGACCTTTTGTCACTGTCAGAAACTTGCCTGGGCTGGCTGCCTCCAGCTCATCAGAGCACATTATTCCCCAGTCTCATCAGCCTGAGAACAACATTCAAAGGAAAATGAGAACACCCATTACAAATATAACGAAGCACTGTCAGCTAGCCAGGTGGCAAGAGATGGGGACACCTGCAACTCCCTAGCAAGTTTGGGGTGATGGCAAGCACAGAGCATTCCCTCAAAAATTCACCCAGCACCCATGAGTCAAGCAGGATCGCAGCTGCAAGTAAGGCCAAAGAAATCAACCCTCCATCCTTGAACATATGTATCCAACAATGAGGCAACTATGAAATAATTTGGGATGTGGACCAGCCAAGCATGGTCTGAAATGAAGCTTCATCAGTGCTGGTCTACAAACCCTGCCCAGTCTCAGTGTGGCCCCAGCACGCTCATGAGGCGTTATGTGCACTAGGTTTGTGCTGAGAAACAGGATGGCTCAGTGGCAACTCAGAGACTCACAATTCCTCCTCTCCAAGAAGCTTCATCTTTAAGGGAAAGGAAATCTATTGCTTATTTCCTAAGTGTATCCCTAAAAAGTGAAAGGTAAGATTAATGTTACATTCACTGCTGTGAATTAACTTGACTTCCCATTCCTGGGCTCTGGCTGAGAGTCAGACAAGCAGCAGGGGTGCAATCCAAGCAGCTACAACTGGCAAGTCCAGTGAAGTGTGAAACATAACAGGTTTACTATAGTCTGATTAAGCCAGTCTGCCTTGGCACAGCAGGGAGCAGGCCAGGAATCTGCAATCCTGGCACAGCTGTCAATAAAAGAAATGCCAGCCCAGGAATCCCAGCCGCTGCTACAGACAGCAGAGGTGCCAGCAGAAGGAGGAGGGCAGAAGCACGGCTGGAAGCATCATCCTTTGCAGCAGTGGTGGGCTGCAAAACTCATGCAGTGGCATGAAAGGGGGATCCCGAAGAGCTTCTCTGCAAGCTCCAAGTACACAACTTCTCTACTGGGAGGAGTTCACCCTGAAAATACATCTCTGTAAGCATCAGTGCATCTGAGGCTCTTGCAAGAACAGTTGCAAGCCTGGCCTCTATGGCCAAGATAAGAATGTCTCTAGGTACAACAAATTGGAAAAAATTCACTAAATAACCTTTTCATATTCTGTCATCTGCTTCACTAGCTTTCTCCAGCTACCTGGCTCAGCATTTTTAACACCAAACTGCTTCAAAGAAAGTGAGGTAACCACAACACAGGAGGCTTAGATGGTGCTAGTGATGCTTAGGTGTGTGACAAAGAAGCAGGTAACATCAAGGAATGGGTGGTATGAGTGTGTACTATCTCTTTAAGAGGTCAAAGCCCACTAGCT